CTCTGGGAGCTGTTCTCCTTGGACACACTGAATGAATACTTGGAGCGAGACCTGACTCCCAGTGAGCTCACCTACCGAGTTCCCACAAGGCACAGGTGAGATGAGGAAATGGCTCAGAGAATCTTTGAATCCCTTGCACGAGCCAGACAGAGATGCTGTAGCTGTTGGTGTGTGTTGCTGCTTACTGCTACATGGCACTGTGTTATTCCATCCTAGCTGCTGCAGGCAGTTGCTCACCTCCACTTCCCTGCTTATCCTCCCTAGAAAAGAGCCACAAAACCAAAGAATAATTTAATTGCAATGGACCTCTTAAAGTCTCTGGTCTAAGCCCTTGCTCAAAGCAAGGACATATAGATCAGGATGCCCAGGGTCTTGTCCAGTTCAATGCTGAATATCTCTGAGGACAAAGAAACCACAGCTTCTCTGGGCACCTGACTAGCCTTTTCATAGTAAAAACTTTTTTCCTAGTAATAAATTTTTTCCTAGTATCTGATTGGAAGATCTCATGTTGCAACTTGTGCAGTTGCTGTTCCTGAACCCTTGCTTCATAAGCCTGAACAAACCCAGGTCTCTTAGTCACTCCTTGTAAGTAATCATAAAATGGTTTGGATTGCAAGTGACCTAAAAGGTCATCTAGTTCCAACCCCACTGCCATGGGCAGGGACCCCTCCCACTAGACCAGGTTGCTTAGAGCCCCATCCAGCCTGACCAATGTGCTCCTGCTCTCAGCCATCTTGGTGGCCCTTCACTGGACCTACTCCAGTATGTCAGTGACTTCCTTGTACTAGGGAGCTGAAAAGAGACTGGTTTTTTTTAGAAATCAGAAGGCCTGCCTTATGCCCAGTATCCTTTTCTCCAAAATGATCAATATAAGGTCAGACAAGAATTAAAAGCAAGAGAGCCAGTGTAGAATGACCTTTCCCCTGTCATGGCCTGATGACCCTCCTGTCTCAATGTAATCTTTTCTTTCTCTCTGGTGGCCAGCACATGCTTGACCCCTCCAGTGTACACCCCTCTCCTGCTGGATTTCAACTTTGGGTCTGCCCTGGTAGGCTCAGAGCCGAGCCTTGTGATGCTTCTTCTGGAGAACAAGGGTGTGGTGCCTGTGGAGTGGTAAACAGTGCTCGCTGGAGCTTAGCCTTCTTTCTGGGGTTTGTTTGGGGGTTTGTTTGGGGGACTGAAAGTGCTCACAGGGCCGTTGAGACACTTGAAAATTAATAGAGTGGGGTTTTAGGTGCAGTTTGTGTTGTGGAACTGCAGCTCTGATCTGTTTGTGGGTCTGGGTGGGGAAGCAGGGAGCTGCAGATCGGACCTGATGAGATGTGATGTGTCCACCATCTTAGATGGGCTAAGTCTGGCTGGGCAGAAAATGCTGACCGTGGCCCTGAGGAAGTTGCATGTCCTTGTTGCTGACCAGCCAATTCATTCCTTAGGGCCTTCTTGTTTCCTTCTGATCAGAAGATGGACATGGAGCACTGGGCACAGGATGCTGAGTTTAGCCCCCAGGAGCTGGACCAGATGAGAATTCAGGATAACCAGCTCTTCAGTGTTTTCCCAAAGTCAGGAACACTTCTTCCAGGACAGGAGAAATCTGTCCAGCTCTCACACAGGTAATGACAACTACCTGTACTTCAAAGCCTCATGCTATGTGCCAGGACAGCACATACTGTCAGTTCCCTATGTTTCCGTGCCAGGTCCTTTCCCTTCACACATGCCTTGCAAAGAGGGGCAAGTAAAAGTTTGGGCAAGTAAAAAGTTCCTGAGCATGTCCGGTTTCTGAACCCCACAGAGCTTGTCCTTCTCAAGGGAATGTTTTAATGTCCTTTAATGCTGCAGTGCAAAAGGCATTTAGTGTGATGCACTGGGAATGCTGGTCTGCCTTGACCTGACAGTTGAGGAGACGAAAAAGATGCTGCACTTCCTGTGCTTTTGATTATGCAGTGATATTTTTGTCATCAGCTAGAGCTGCTAGCCCTTGTGTGCCTGTGGCAGGAATGAAGAAAACTGAACACCTCCCCTTTTGCAGCATACCAGACCTGTGAAGTACTGCAATTTTGTTGGCCTAGAAACTTGGGTCCCTAAATTGGTGTGTGACTAACATCAACATTGTATCACTCATTCCCACCCAAACACAACTGTTCCACCCCCCCCCTTGCCCTGTGCGCCATTACGCAACACTGACTCTTTAGGTGGGAAGTGAATTGTCTCTAATGTTCTGTGTGACCCCGATTCTATCACCCTGGGCATAAGGTTGGTTTCTAATGTTTTCCTCTCCTCTTTCACTGCTAGACATGATTTCATTGGCACTGATCGCCTCCCTGTACTGCTGAAGGTTTCCAATGGCCATGAGATTCTGGTAAGATAGCATGTGTCGCTTCCTTCTGTTTGCAGAACAGCAGCAGGTAGGAACTGAACTAAAAGATGTTTTCCCCAGAAGCTGCATGGCATACAGGGAGCTGTGGCCTTCCCCTGGGATTTGTAGGATTTGTACTAGCCAGGTAGTAACAGAGAGCCGAGCAGAGACATAAACCCAACATTCTGACAAACTTGTGGTTCCAGCACAGTGTGATATAGGCAGTGCACTGGCAAACTCTCCCTTGGATGTCATATATTTTGATTTCCTCAGCAAGAGGAGTATGATTTATCATTAACTTAGGTATTTTATTGGTAGTGTTAGTGCAGAATTGCTTCTTCCTCCAAGGCAACTCCAAGACCAAAACAGCCTTCTTAGGTTTTACAGTCCCTGCACGTTTTTCACACTTGAGTGCAGCTCACAGTCAGGAGGTCTGTGCTTGGTTCCCCTCACTTCATCTGCCTCACCATGAGTTCTTCCATGCAGAGGTCCTGGAGTTCGTATCTGCAGCCCATCCTACTTCTCTCATATGCAGCTTTCCTGCATCTCTCCATCTCATCAACTCTCTATGCTCTTCAAAACCTCCTGGAATGTGCTTTTCTCCAAAAATACCATTTGCACTGACTGCAGTTTGGGGACTCACAGGGTGGCAGAGCATCCTCCAGCTCTGGAGGTATGGAGGCAGTTGCTTCGTTGAGCCCAGAAGGTACTCCCTGGGTTTCTGGTTGGCTGCAGCCTTTGTCCACCTTATTTCTTCTGCCAATAGTAGAGGAGATCCTTAGTCATTCTTCCTGCTTCACTGCTTGCTAAAGCACCCCAGAGCTGATCTGTGGTGTGTTTTCCCTGAGGATTTCCTCAGGCTTGGAACTAATTTCTTTCTCTCCCCCTCTCCCAAACTGTCAGTTAGAGTCAAAGTCACCTTGTGCTCTGCCGGGCACCGCTCATGCCCGGCTGAGCCTTCCTGTCTGTCTCTGAAGTTTCCTATGAGACCATTGTGTTCACACATCTCTTTTATTTTTCTTTTCTTTCAGTACTGTTGTCAGCTGAAAATCCAACCCTTTGACCAAGCTGTTCAAACAGTGGCTTAACTGTGCCTTCCCTCAAAGCCCTTGGACAGGCTCCCTGTGCTTTGCCTGCCTGGCACAATCCTGAGAGTGGCTGTGAGCATTTCACCAGCTGGCCAGAGAGGGAATAGGCTTTGGAGCACCAGAAGCCTATAGGGCATACATCCATACATCTTGTCACATAGCTAGTGGCTTTGGTGGCTACCAGAATCCACCACCCCACCTCATGCTGTCACTGCAGAAGGGGATGAAAAATCATGGGGATCCCTGGGTGCATTTCAGCTCTGGTGGTAGGACCTGCAGAGACCACTCTAGAGACATGGAGGTGGTCACAACCTGCAGGGATGCAGTGCCAGTACTGACCTGCCAGTATTAGAAAGTAGGAGTGGAAGAGACTGCTCCTTTGGCAGAGAGAACAGCTGAGGGGCTGAGCACAGTATGCCTTATTTTCTTTCAGTCACGGCATGAAGTGCACAGAGCTGCCAACTCCCATGGAAGTGACTGCCCTAAGCATGCCAGGGTTGACCAAATCACCTGGGAATCTGGTGAAATGTGCAGAATGTTTCTAACCTTAAAGGAAGGGAATGGTGTAATGTTACCCCAAAAGTTAAGCTTTGGAAATTTGCAAAAGCAACAATAAGCAGAGGTAGAGACCATCAGGCTGGGGTATTGCTTGGTTATTCTGTCAAATTCCAAATTGCTTGGCTTTGGAGCAGTGACATTAACGAGCTGCAAGCCAATGTCTGACTTTTTGGGGTCCAAATTACCTTCTGTTATGGCTCTACCAGTGTGGATAGATTTTTCCCTCTCACTCCTGTTTCCCCAACTGAGCCTGTCTACATCTTCTGGAGAAGGTCCCTTTCTATTACTTCTTTCCTTTTCATTGCCCAGCTTTCAGTCCTGTGATGACTGGATTTATATATACTGTGAAGGACCCAAACTGATCTCCCATTGGCAATTTTTTCTGGCTGTAGGACAAAACTTCTGTGGAACTTGTGTGTTACCCAATTCCTTGTGCAGTAGGGAAACAGGGTGTCCCACTGCCTAATGTTCTCACAGTTTGTCCTTTGCCTCATTGCCTGTAAGAGTGCAGCTGTGACCTTGTTCTCAAAGCTCTGGGATCATTTGGCCAGGCAGAATATGCAGCCCTAAGCAGTTTTACTAGGAAATGTCCAGCCTGCTGCAGGTGTTGCAGGATGAGGTATGCTGGTTTGCAGAACTCCATGGAGAGAAGATCTGGATCAGGGAGAATCCCTGAGCACACAGGTTTCACAAACTAGAAGTGTTTGCACTTCACTTCACAGCTGCTAATTAGGTATTGTGTGATGGTATCACCTGCATCACGTGTTCTCCAGGCAGCTCTCCTCCCTGGAGAATCTGGCATCCCCCATCATGTTCTAAGTCTTCACTGTGGGATGAAGTCTATGCACTCTGGAAGGAGAATTGGCTACAGCAGGTCTTCACTTTTCTTTTTTTGCCTTCTTTTAACTGATAGTGCTTTAAATATTGCATCCTGTGTCAAATGGAAACTGATGACAGTGTGATCTGTTGGAGTCTAAGCTGGCCTTTTGACTGAAGTAATATAAATTGCTGCTTCACTTTTAAAGCTCAGGAGGGTTACTGTCTGTTGTTCCCTTGCAATTTGAAAGTGCCAGCTTTTGTTTTCCTCCTTATTTGCATTTCATCTGACATGCTGTGACCCTCAGAAGGCTGAATGCTCATGTAATGCTTTGAAAAGATCACACGTGGGACCATTGTATTTCTAGTCCTCTCTCCTTCTTCACTTTGCTTATGGAGCTGAACTGGAATGGGTTGTTTTGGAGGAGTTGTCATTCTCTGCTCATTTTTAAGCAGCTGATACAGTATCTCCTGCAGATGTCTGTCTAAGGCATCTGCCTGCCATTGCAAACATCCTCAGTCTTCTGCATATGCACTTGAAAAATAGCCATACTTTTCTGTGAATTGCAGCAACTCGGCTCCCATTGGCCTGTGCAGAGATACCACCAACTCAGTATCTGCTTTGCAGCCTCCATCCAAGGCAGATAGCCCAGGGGTGCTTTGGGGTGATCCTGCAGGAAATCGTATATCCTGACTCATCTCCAGCCTGGCTGCAGTTTTCTCAAAATGCAGAATCCTGTGTGAACGCAGAATCCTTTCTATGAAATAGTTCAGTTTGCTTGGATTGCTGGCATCTGCTTTGCTAACAGGACACTGTTGATCATTACTTGATCACTTAAAATTCAGCTGGGATCTTCTTGCAGCTTTTTGACTGTTAGACATCCTTGGAGCAGGATGTCCTCTAGAGTGTGAACATCCAGATGGTCCTTTCCAAGAAGAGGCCATTACGTACCTAAAATACTGTCTTTCCAAAGGGTTTGGCTGTTACAGCTGCACACTCTCCTATGTACAGTCCAGACACTTTCAGTCCTATGAGGGGAGGCTGAGGTAACTGAGGTTATTTGGCCTGGAGAAGAGGAGGCTCAGAGGTGACCTTATCACTCCCTACAACTACCTGAAAGGAGGTTGTAGCCAGATGGGGATCAGTCTCTTCTCCCAGGCAACTGTCACAGGATGGGAGGACATAGTCTCAAGCTGCACCAAGGGAGATTTAGGTTAGACATTAAGAAGAATTTCTTAACAGAAAGGGTGATTGTGGAATGGACTACTCAGGGAGGTGGTGGAGCCACCATCCCCAGAGGTGCTTAAGGAGAGACTGGACATGACGCATAGTGCCATGGTCTAGTTGTCATGGTGATGTTACATTATAGGTTGGACATGATCTCAGACATCTTTTCCAACCTGATTGATTCTGTGATTCATGGAGAATTTCCAGCATACACCTGCCTAGAGAAGCACTGATGCTGGTGTCTGATATAGCAGAGAGAAAAGTATATTCTTTCTGAAACAAGGAGTGAACCTTTCAGAGAAAAGTCAACAGTTAAGTAGGTTCTCCGTCTTCTTGATTTTTTTTTCTTAGAACATGCCATCCTGGTATTACCAATTTAAGTCTGTAATTGTGTTGCCTTCAACTTGCAAAGTACTTCAGAGTCAATGTGCAGTTGTTAGTGTTTCTTACAAGACCCTGTGAGAAAGTGACTGTGTGTCTTTGCACTGTAGCTGACCTTCAGCGGTGTGACAGTGGAACACAACTGGCCGTACATTCATTTTGCCTCCACTAATCACGTCTTCACACCCATTGCCATTGGGAGTTCCCACCCTCCTACACAGGTGAGCATCTTGTAGCCAAACCCAGCACAAATGTAGGGTAGTAGCTGGTGGTACTGTCCCCCAAGGACAGGCAGTGCCTGAGGCATTTCTCAGGAAACAGAGTGGCCTCCACATGAAAGTGTCACAGTAGAACTTTGCGGCTAGTTCTAGGCAGAGCCTGGAAATAGCTGCTGGGATAGCAGCAGGGAAAGTACTTCTCACCCTCTTCAGTTTGACAAGATTTGGTGTTCACTCCAGTCAGAATGCTTCTGAGGTGTGTAGGGCTGTTCACTTGTTCTCTTGCATTGGATCTGAGTGAAAACTTGCCTAGCTGGTCCAGGTACTCTGGAAATAAATCCTAATTAGTTTTTTAGTAAATTGATTAAACTTCCTTAAATGCTTTTTCAGCAAAAAGGCAGCTTTGATTTTGTACTGCCTAATTTACAAGTCTGAATTGAATTAAGATCATTTTAATATAAGCGTTTTTGCTTTGCAAGTAATCCGCTTTGCAGTGATCCCTTTAGCTAATTTGTATTAATTTTCCCCTGGCGTGAATTTGCAGGGCACCTCTTGGAGAGGCACTGTGGTTATCAATGTACATGTGTAGTGATAAACCTTCAGCACAATTCCTATCAGAGCCACATCAATAAGTCTTGACACTATGAGGTCTCCTCATTCTTGGGAGACAAAGCTGACTAATTAATTATTAATGCTTATCACAGTCCTCTGGGGAAGTGTTAACTAGTTTAACTTGTACATGGTATAATAAGAACTGCTCTTTCTGACTCCCTTCAGACTTATAAACTCTACAATGGTGGCTCCGTGCCTGTGATGTTTGAGGTTCAGCTGGACAACATTGAGAGAGAGGAGGAAAATTTTCAGCATCCTATATTTGTCTGCCTAACTCCTAAAGGAGAAATCCCTCCTGGAAAAACAGGCCACATTGAGTGGATCTTTTCACCACTGGAAGCTAAAACATACTCGGTGAGACCCTCCTCATGAATGCCAAAACCACTTTCTTTCTGTTGAGCTAACATTCTCTCAGTTTTTTATTGGTGATTGATCCATGTCGTGCTACAGCTGAATTGAGCTTCATTCCTCCAAGAAGCAAGAGTCTTGAGAGCAAATGAGTCTGGTCAGGAAATGGAGCAGATAAATTTTCATCTCATAAGTTTCTTCTTCCTAAGAACAGACTTCTTCCACAACCAGAGTCATGCCAGTATATGTTTTTCAGGGATCAAAGAGTAGGTGGGGATATAAACAGTATCTGTTTGGGTTTGTGGTTCATTGTCAGCCTCCAAAAACTCCCACCAAAGAGACTGAAGTTGGTGTCTTTTTATCATTGCAGCATATGCTGCTGCAGACCTCTGGTAACAGACTTCTCAAAGACCCCTGTCCTGGGCTGCAGCAGGCAGGAACGGCCAGAGCTGCAGCATTGCTTATTGCCCCACTCTGTGGTGGATGCATGGAAACATAAATAAATTTAATTTTAAAACTCCAACTTTTGCTCCAAAAAGGAGTCTCTGCCCATCTCATGCTGTAACTGGCTAATTGACTACTTAACCAGCTTTCCTGGGCTAGCAAGGGAGGTCAAGGCCTGAAAGACCAAAAGAGATTGGATTTCTCTTCATCCATGCACGTGGTGTATTTAGACCAGACTGTTAGCAAGTATGCTAGCTTACTGCACGTCTCTTGCAAATATGACTCTGGACTTAAAACTCTTATCTTGTCCAAGGCAGGTTGATGTTCCCATCCACATCCTGGGCGGTGAATCAGCCCTGATCACTTTCCAGGGAGTAGGCTACAATCCAAATACCATAGGAAAGGCTGTCACATCCAGCAAAATTTCGTCTGCTTCAGTCTTTCCAGGTTCTACCAAGCTAACTGTGCCTGGGCAGGTAAGTGCAGATATGACATGAGCAATAGTATCAATCTAGAAATGTATGAAAGGGATGGAAATGTGCAAGTGGCCCCATCTAGCAGTAGCCTGTGTTGCAGGAGAGCTCATTGCCATGACATAGAACAATGCATTTCCCTTCCAGCAGGTCATCTAGAGTCTAACTCATAAAAGCTGAAAGGTGCCTTCCTTCCAACTTGTTACTTCCATGGCCATTAGAACCAAAAAGGGTTTAAAGTTTGTTCATGTAATGAATTTGCTCCTAGAAGTTGCCCTCTATCACAGCTGCCTTTCTTGACTGCAGCTACAACACCTTTTTCTTTGATGATTCATTCACAAAAAGACCAATATACTCCAACTCCAACATACCATGTCAGGGCTTTGCTGCCATCATTTCACAGCTGAACTCGGATGATTCAGAACCTGAACACAGACTGCAGGATGGTCGCTAATTTAGGCACATCCCGAGGAATGCACTTGTTTGACCTGCCACTGGCTCAGCAGGAGCTTGTCTGGCCTGGGTAGAGCTGGCCTGCTAGCCTGGACAATCTGTTGTTAAACTCACCCACAGATTCCAGCATAGGTAAACAGCATTAGCAGAGGCATTCTCCTCACAGGTAAAGGATTCATCCTGCATGACATTAGCATGCCTTCCTTGGAGCCCAGCGCCAGCTCCATATGCTCTTGCCAGAGTGATTACACTCCTGGGTACCGCAAAGAGAAGTTGATTAAAAACCTGTCTCAGACTGCCAAGGAAGATGCCATTCCACAAGGCTCTCTGAAACCAAGTCATTAGTTTCCTTTTCTAATGATTGTCATACTCAGAGTTTGCCCTGTGCCTGGAGAATGTGACAAACTAGTAGCATACTAGTACCAAGGTGTGTTGGGGAGCAATTTCTCAAAACTCACATTCAGGTTGATGAGGATTTTGCACAAGCACATACCTCCCATGTTTGTCAGCTGAAGTAGGAAAAGGCTTGGATTGCAAGTGCTGCAGGGAGAATCTAGGTGTTACTGGTCCCCTGTGCTACTGAGATCCTCTCCTGTCCAGCACCAGTATTGTGTCCTATTCATTGATCACTCAATCCTGCTGCAACAGGGCTGTCCTCTTGGGGTAAAGTCTTTGTAACCAGAGCAAACATGACAGAAATGTAACAATCCCTCAAGTTGTTATGGTAAAAGCAACTGGTGAATATTATCTATGAATTGCTGGATAACTTAGAGATGACTGTTTGACTGCCCTTCCACAATGGCCATATCCCATCTTTCTTCCCTGCTGTTCCTTCTGGTTTCACCTTGCTTCCTGCAGGTAGCCACCTTGTCACACCACAAGATTTGCTTTGGAAGTATCCCAGACTGCAGCAAAGCCAATCAACTTGTCTTTCTCAACAATATGTCGGAGAGCAAGGCTGTTGTGTTTGCCTGGCAGATAAGCACCTGTAAAGATGAGAGGGTGAGTCCTCTTTGCTCTACAGCCTTCTTGCCCATCTCAGTTGTGCCACGAAAGGACCTTACAACTTCATTTTCAACAAGACACTCAAACAGGAATTGGCTTTGTGGAAGCTGATGAAAGGAAAATGCAGAGAAAAGTGAAGGCAAGGGTTAGGATAGGGGGAAAGAGGAATTCAGAAGGGAAACCTGAAGGCTTCAGTGAGGTCACATGAACCTGGAACTACAGAATGTGGTAACAAGCCTCAGGACTCCATCCATCAGCAAAGTCCAGGCTTCTTCTTTGCATGTATCAACTGCATCTCTCTCATGCCATATGCCTCTGAGAAGGAGAGGTGTGTTTCCTACAAAAATAAGGCACACAGGAAGGTCCCAGAACAGTGAAACAGATCCTCTGTGTTTTTTGGGGGTGTTATTTTACTTTTTTTCCCTCTCCCCCAGGTGTTGCAGATTGCTCCAGAGTCAGGGGTTGTACAGCCTGGAGAGAGCATCCCCTGCTTCATCACAATGGGACCTACAATGAGTCCCTCTTCCTACAGTACAGATCTGGTGTGTGAGGTGAGACCCAAGAGACATCTGTGCATTACCATCATCTGGGCATGTCATTGCAGTTCCCAAATGGCTGACTCCAGCAGTCATCTGCCTGCTGCTTCCAGCTGAAGGAATCTTTCTTTGCTATGCACTTCTAATTCCTGAAGACACTTAACTTCATCATGGCTTAATGGGGGGAACACAGCTACTAGAAGTGATGGTTTGAGTGGGAGTGGCTTTCAGTGGATTTCAGTCTTGCTGCTTTAATATTAGTGGGGGCACAGACTTGCAGTAGTGTTCCACTGGACACTTTCCAGGTTTTCTTTGGCAAGAGTGCATGTCTTCTCTTTATGAGTCTTACAATAGCACTGTTCTTTCCTCTTCCTGCCACTGGAATACTTGGAAAGTGAGTGGGCTTCTTTTTCAGACCTCCTGAAAGGGAGAAATTGGTGACAGGCATGAACTTAAGCCAGAGACTGTTATTTGCAGCTCCTTTCTAGCCCTGATCCCTCCAGTCATGGTTTGTTTCATAGGTGTACATCCAGAAGTCCCTGGCTCAGTACAAGAGGGACCTGCAGGAGTGGGAAAAGGAGAAGGAACGGCAGGCTGTGGAATTCACCATCACAGAGAAGAGCCTTGGTACTCAGAAAAAGCTAATGCCACCTGCAGTGGTAAGTCTTGTCAAAACTTTGTACAAGCTTAGCTCAGCTCAGAAACAGCAGCCAGTGTCAACACGAAGTGTTCTTTAAGAAAATCTAGGCAAGTTGATAAGAGGACATGAGGCTCTGATCTGCTCAAAACCTCAAAGCTGATCTGTGGTTAGTGGAAAATGAGATCTTGGGTTTTAGCCAAAAATTGCCTTACAAACTTTGAAATTGCTAGTGACCATCTGAAATTTGGAAGTGCATGGGAAGACTTAGGAAAAACAAAGCCAGTGGCTCTGGAAAACAACAGTTGGATTTTTAACCATGAATAAACACTGGACAGAAATGTGTAGCTAGCAGTAAGAATGTGGCCCGAGTGAAGAATGGGAGGATGAGGTCATTGATTCTCAGCTGGCACAAAGTAAAACAAAATTCTAGAGACTTGTTCTGCTCTGTACTTTTCCTACATGTTAATTTCTCCTCCTTTTTAAAAGATATTTTATTTTATTTTTCAGAGGTTATTAGAATCTGCTGAGACAGAAAATCTTCCTGAATCCTCAGCTGTGATCAGGAAATACAAGGTAAGTCGGGCCTGTCTTGCCCATTGTAGAATCAAAGTGACTGCTTTAGAAACGATGCAGATGCTGGATATCACAGCGTGGGAGCCTAGACAGAGAGCACATCAGGATTTGTAGCTTCAAGGCTTTGGGAGACAGACTGTTTGGAGGAGCCAGAAGAATCAGACTGTCTGGCTGTGTTCTGTGGGCAGTAACTTTCCAGCTGAGGTGAAAGGGAACTGAAATTGGAACCAAATGTGCACCCATGGCTTGAGGAAGGAGGAAAAGTTTCAAATAAGCAGAAAAGATGCACATGGACAGGGCAGTCAGTACCTGGACTGGTTTCATGCTGGGGGCACAATGGAATGCATGCCATGATGGAAAGCAGCAGGACCCTGGCAGGATGTGGTGCAGGCTTTGCCCATATTGCTAGAAGGGCTGTTGCTTTGTGCCTAAGGAGAAGATGCAGGCAGGAACTGCCTTGGTTTAAGTGCGTAGAGAGTTTTAAAGCTCAGTTTATCTGATTCATCTCTGTTTCCCCTCAAGTTTGCACAGCTGTGTCCAGTGCTGGAAGGCAGCTTTTCCAGCAGTGGTGGGAAGGTGTGAGACAAAGTCCCAGTGAATGCTCTGCAGAACTGCCTGGGCTCAAAGGCAGAGCCACACTGTGCATATAACCATCAGCAGGATGTGCTGGGGGAATGACAGGGCTTGTGAAGAACCAGCTAACCCAAGATATGGAAGGGTTTAGGGGAACTGAGGGTAGGCTAGGCCTGAGCAGATTCAGGAGCTAGAAGACACAGCTTGTTATCTTGGGAGGTCCACCACAGTAAGGCTGTAGCAGTGCTCCTGGGACCCTGCAGAGTGCCTCTGCATGCTCTGCATTGTCCTGTGTGAAGGAATCAGCTCAGGGCAATGCTAGCTTGGACTGTCTGCCCTGTGCTACTATGGGTGATCAGTGATGCAGGTCGAGGCATTCACTGGGATGAGTGTAAGAATGGCTGCAGAAAAGTAAAACCAGTTTCATTTAGTCCTCTAAGATTTTAACTCCTAGTGACAATTTGGAGCCTGCAACCACTTGCTGTGTATGTAAGGAGAAGTGAAGGCTCCTGGCTTCATTTCCAGAGGCAGGATGGCCGTGTCTCAAAGGTCATTGAAGTCCTGCAATGCCTGGGAGCTTCTCCAGATCTGGGTGGTGTCCTGCTGGCCCAGGCTTCTGGACTACTGCCCTAAGAAACTTCCCCCAAACTGACTGCTGGTAATGCAAGCCCAAATTGGCCCATGCAGTGTGGCTCTAGTTTAGATGATTTCCCCATGCATTCCATACATGTACATCACTTCTCCTGCAGCGCTCCTGGTGTGGTCAGAGGAGCAAAGATGATCGCCCAGAGTTCCATGGTGATGTATTGGAGTACAACAGCCCCAATTGCCCTGAGGAGACCCTGAAGCCCTGCTGACACTTGGGCCTGGCACACTAGGCAGTTAAGAGGGAACAGACTTGATTTCCACTATGGCTTCTCATGCCTAGTAGCAGTACTTACTATGCCAAGTTCATTTTGACACCAGGATCTGGTGGCTTTGACTGCTGGGCTTTCAGTTCTCATGCCTGTGCTCAAACCTACACCAGTATACCTGTGGCCAAAGGACCAGCTGTGTACCTGCCATTTCTTTCTCTCCAACAGACATTACCCTCCATTAAAAACCACCCCATGCCCAATCAGCCAGCTGGACACTTTGAGAGGAGGCTGCTGTTGGGCAAAGACACCAGCCAGGTGTGGGTCAAACCAGAGCCTCCCAAGCCTATGCTCTTATACCTTGGTGTGTCAGCCAGGTCCCACTCTATTGAGGACTTCGACAGCAACTTCGCCTCGGAGCTTCCCAAATACTTGTTTTCCTGGTAAGAGACAGAGGTTTTTGGATTGATATCTTCATCTGAACTAGGGCTGCTCATGCTCTGATATGCACTGAACTTGGAGCTCTGCTCTGCTCCTCTACAGAGCCTCAGTATTAGGTAAGAGGTGCCCTGCTTTTCCCAGCATTTGCTGATGGATTCTGCTTATTTCCTTCCCTCAAAAGGGAGATGCTGTCAGAGCTCTGTGCTCCTCTTATGTGACACTGTCCCTGCTGCTGTCACAAATGCAGCAGCTCCCACTCCTCCCCGGGTTCCCTGCACTGCTCTCCACTTGCCTGAAGTGCTACTCAGTGCCAGGAGGGTGCAGGTCTTTGATGGTTTGGTTCAGTAGTGCTGCCACTGATGGAACAATTTCTTTCCCAGCCGCTTCAGCACCTGGCCCTTGGAGAGCAAGTTTGTGGATGGGAGTAGGGACAGAGACAGGATGCACATGGAACTCAAATGGCTATCCCTGGCTGCTGCTTCAAAACAGGAGTTGCAGATAGTGACTGACATACTCACAGGTGTCATCAGGTGCGTGTCCCTTCGCCCTCAACCCAGTTTGGAGCCCCTGTCCTCCAGAGGATGTATGCAGCATGGCCAGCCTTCTGTTAATCCCAAAGGAATCTGTGCACTCTTGTTGCACCAGAATTGGGGGATCCACCCATCAAAGGCTGTCCTGGGTACTATGAGCTCAGGAATCCTGGTGTGACAGCCAAAGGCAGGGTCTTGCTCCCCAGCCAGGGGCTGAGCACATCTATGCATGATGAATAGTGTCACTGCCCAAGAACCAGGAAACTCTGCCTGCCATGATCTTGGAAACAGACTGTGTTGGGATACACCTATTTGGTCTGTCAGCTGCACAAATGCAAAAACCAGTGCTGGGAAGCAGAGGTAGTTTAATTAGCTCAGGCCACCTTACTGCCTCCCTGAGGCCCAGAAAGCAAGAAGGGGCTGACTAAACACTGATATCAGTCAGGGTTTTCCTCTTATTTGTACTGTGTTGTAATGATCCTCTGGGTCATACAGATAGCTGATTTGCTGGAACTCATCCTTTATTTTCCTCCTCCCAGAGGTCTCATGGACAGCACTCAGTTCCACAATGCAGTGAGAAGAAGCCTGGATGAGCCTATTCCATATTTCTCCCAGTTCCAATGTTCAAGATCAGCAGAGATCCAGGACAGGAGACAGTGCTCCACAATCCCATGCAGGGTGTCTGCTTCTCCAGATCTTTACCTTGAGAAGGATGGAGAGAGGAAAGAAATGAGTCAGGAAACCTCTCCCAGTGATTTGCTGGAGTCTTCTGAGATTTTTCACCACAAACAGTTGAGGGAGAAGAAGGAGGTGATGGATAGGTGAGGAAAAAGCTCATATATAAAAGGCAAGAGCTGCAGTCAGGAGAGCCATGGCAGCACACTGTCTGGGCCAGAAACCCATTTCTTCTTCAGCCCTACTGGAGTATTCTGTGTGCTCTGGGTGGAAATTGATGTTAGTTCACCTAGCCACCTTCTCCTGAGCATGGTTTGTGGAGAGTGCAGGTTTGCTCTGTCTGGGGCTGAGCCATGGGCAGTGCCAGGATGCTGGTAGTGAGGTCTGCCTTACACTTGGACAGTCCTGGCCATATAAGACATTAGGGTGCAGTGTGTGCTACCTCATCTTTTATTTTTTCTTCAGTATTTCACCACCTTGCATTTGCTGTGGCTACTCTCTTGCACACTGCTACAGGCTACAAGCATGTTCACAAATACCAGCTACAGCACAGCTTGGAGGAAGAAACCAGTAAAATCACAATTGCCCAGCTCTGTCTGAGGTCAGGGCCTGACACCAGCTGGTGACAGTTCTGGGACAAGGGTCAGAAACCCATTGCTTAAGTCTTTGGTTCATTGGCCTCAGTGCATAGGAAACTGTGTGTGCTCCACTGCTGTGCCTGATGAGTCCTGGGAGGAGTCACAGCAAGCAGCCTGCCTTATCTGCTTTCTGATAGCTGTCCTCTGCCTGTGCTTCTGTCCCTCCAGGCAGCCAGTCATTGGGAACCTCGTGGAGCTGGTGCTGGAAAACATACTGCAAAATATCCTGATTGAAGCCAACTGTGGGGAGGTGGTGCTGACAGCCCAGCCCAGGGTCATTGCTCTACCCCCCAGCCCTGGCCAAAGGTAGCAGGGTATAGCGGTACTTTGGTGGGGGGCAGGACATGTACTTAACGTGTCAGGTTGAAGCACAGCACATTTTCTAGACCATATGGATTAGCTCAGTCACTGCCTAGCAATGCCAAGGCTGTCTGTGCACAAGGGGAATCCACTCCCAAAGTCTCTGCCCCTTCTTGGCCTCTCCTGAGCCACAGAGCAGAGGCAGTAATGGTAGAGGCTTTCTGTGGACCTGAGACCCTCATGCAGCTCTGGGGCAGGGTCCTGTGGGTGAATAGCCAGCCTGAGACACTGGAGAGCCCAGCACAAGGATGGTCCCTTGGGAAGGGGGTCAAGGAGCAGGCAGCACCACCTCTGACAGCAGAAAGGGGGCAAAGCTTTCATAGTCCAAGATGGTGTGGGATCTAGTTAGGCTGAGGGAATGGCCACTGGTGGGGGAGGTAGATTTGAGGCTGAAGGCAAAACACAAGGGTTTACCCCAGCTTGGGCATAAGTGCAGGGAGATGGGATTTAGTGTTGATGGGAGAGGGTTGTTGGATGGAGATGTCATCTCCAGAGCTGCAATTTCTTCTTCTTCAGAGTCACCAATCTGGCACCCCCACCCTCCAGAGCATAGCTGCTGGACACTGTGCTGCTTGAGCTCTTCAAGCACATCAGCTGACTTCAGTCTTCATCCTGTCCCTGTGAGGTCCATTGCAACTCTGACCCCCCCACACACCATGACCTGAGCTCAGCATGCTGGCTGTCTCTGAGGAGGTATGTCCTGATTATATCCTCAGCTCCAATTTGAATCCTCTGACAACTCCACAGCAGAGTTCATGAGATCTGTCCTTTCTGTGACGGGCCACATCCTCAGAGAAGAACCTCTGTGTGCTACAGGGAGCACATGGACAACCTCTGTGACAGTTCCCACTACCCCCAGTCTGTACCAGCTGGGAGAGGAGTGGAATCTGCTTTGAAATGTAGCTGAGGAAGGACCAACAATTGGGCAATGAGGTGATGAGCCCCTGCAGACATTAGTGGGACATCTCCCCTCCTTGCTCCGATGCCTGCTGCAGGTTCCTCATACAGTGACCATCCTGAGGGAGTGGCTGCAGCACCACCAGCACACTCAGCAGTCCAATAAAAGCAGCTTGGCCTCCGGACACAGACACCGGCATGTAACATACATAATCCACGCGTCTGGGTTTGTGAGCACCCTGACAGAGGTCTGCCCTTCCTGAACTGCAGAGCTGTCACCTGGGGAAGGGGATGCTTTGAGCCTTGTCCTGGCCTGGGGATCTGTCAAGCTGTGGGAGGTGTCACAGTGAAAGAGCGGGTTTGTTACAGCCGGGAGGTGGCAGTGTGAGTTGTGAGAAATCCCAGCGGCCAGAGCAGAGCTGGGGCTGGTGCTGATACCCCAGCTGATGCTCCTAGGCAGAGGCTGCAGGATGGCTGTGCCGGGCAGCAGGGCTGAGTTTGCAGAATCTCCACGGTTCTGCAGCCCTGTTATGGGCTCTGCGATGCAGGGCTCACGCAGCCACCCAGCTCTGGCGAGGATGAAGGATGCAACTTGTGTCCCCCTTCAAGCCCTTCTGCCCTGTGTTCCCAGTGCCAGCACCCAGCCAAGACCAGAGCTGCATATTCTTCCCTTGTGGCCTAAGAAAAGACTGCGTATGAGAAGCACAAGGGATTTTTCCCTGTTCAGTAGAGGGCAGGTGCCTGCTGTGCCTGGGGGCACTGCGGCTCACCCAGCATCACCCCAGCACTCCACTCTGTGCAGGAGCCCTGTGTGCGTAAACGTTACTAAGCCCCAGGGCTGAGCTGTTCCTGTTATCAGAGGTACAGCAAAGGCACTGTCAGCTCCTGAGCTCAGCCTGAGTGCCTCAGGCCTTCACGTGGGTCCTGGATCCTTCTCATTAGAAGTGCAGACCCTCTACTCCCTCCTCAGCACTCTGGGTGCCAGTTCTCATATGTCACAGCAGCCTTTCCGTTGTCCTCTGGGCTTTGGCTGCTGCAGAACAGGTAATGGGGAACCACTTCCTTCCTCCCCAGCTCAAGGCAGCAGCAGGACCTGGCTGTTCAGTCCACTTGGAGTGATTCTGCTTGGTCCAGGATCCTCACTAGGATTTGCTCACTGCAGATGCTCTGTAGTCCTGTGACAAGCTTCCCAAGTGGATAACACAGGCAGGGGAAGAAGCCTCACCATTGTCCTAAATCAGGTTGGATCTAGCTGCCTGCAGGAGCCCAAGGGCAGCCTGGGGCAGCAGAGACAGGGTCAGTCAGGGTCAGTTTTTTCATCCTCAGACACGCTGCATGGTCTGATCTCTCTGGGCTGCATCACTGTTAACTCCTCTTCCTGGAGAAGTTAACATGGGAAAGGCTGTGTGTGGGTCTGGTGTAACACCCAAAAGGGAATGGATGGAGTCTGAGTGCAGTCACATGTGCAGGGAATTATTATCTTTTTTTTGGTTATTAAAGTTTCTATCCTTCCCACTCTCCTGTACTGAACACATTCTGGACCCAGAGGAAACAGAAGTCACATTGTACTTGCCTGTTGGAGCACTATCAGAGGAAATTCACTTCTCTGACAAGCACCACTCTAGTAGGAGAGAGCCCTAAGATGATGCCTTAGGAAACAGATGAGTCAGGGAACAAGGGGTGTGAGAACTACCTACACCTCTCAGAGAGAAATTTCTCTTTCCTCAGTTCTTTGCAGGGGCTGTGACATAATGGTGTGTCACCTCTGTCGTAGGTCTTCTCTGATGCCTGTCAACCAGAACCACTCTGTGTGCACTAAGCAAAGACAGTAGCAGCTGTAACACACTTTTCTTCTTTCATCCTCATCCTAAAATATAATACACCAGGGACAGCCTTTTTGCCATGTTGGGGAAGCTACTGATTTCTCAGGCTGGGAACCACTGAGCCTGGTTTTGGAAAACATTTTCACATGTGACTGAGCCACACCGCTGTCCCTTTGGCAAATGGAGACAGCAGCACCCCCAGGTACTACTCGGGGTGAGCTTTGCAGAGTGGGGAACTCACCAGGGGAAGCTCCTTCCTCACTTGCATCTTGGGGGCAATGCTGAGGTGAAAGGTGGGCAGAGATGTGCAGAGCTAGCAGGGAGAGCTGTTCTGTTAGCAAGTGGTTTTCTTGGTACCCAGTGCCAAGAGCAATGAACTGTGGAACTGTAGTAGAGCCAGACCCACAGCCCAGCTCAGTTTCCAGAAGAGGGAAGAAGCCCTGTCTCTGCTAATGACATTTGGGTCTCAGGCAAAAGGAAGTCTGAGCTTGTTGTACTGTCTTTCAGGGCAGGATTTGGCCCCTGCCCCAGCACAGCTACATTTCTAATGCACATTTGTCTAACAGAAATATTGTAGATATGGGTCCTGCTCCTTCCCACCAGTGTTTGGACAGTGAAGTGGGTGATGTTCCCACGGACTGGTGTTGATGGCCAGGCTAGGCTGCCAGCAGGTATACAGCCAGCATAAGGATGGCTGAGCGGGAGCTTGGCAAGCTAATGGGACTCCCCTTCTTGTGCGGGTTATCAGGAGCGCTCAGTCATCAGGCAGTTACTGCAACACACAACAGGCCTTTTTTTCTTGGCTGTTACTCCTGGCTCCCAGGGAGGGGTGAAATGGCCTTGGGGCAGGTGGGCAACAGAAGCTATCCTGAATCCCATTAAAACATTTAACACCTGCTGAATCGTGCCATTGTCTAGGAGATAAAGGGAAGAGAACAAAGCTCTTGGGCTTCCCTGACAGGGTGTCTGCAAGGTTCTGTTGTCCCCCACCCCCTGCAAAAACCCAGTTGGCAGGTCTCTGTGTCCATGTGGGGAAGGCAGCGGTGTTAAGGGACAGTCCCCTTGGCACCCTGCTGCCGGTGCGCGCAGCCGCTGGTTGGAATCAGCCTCTTCTCCCCCTGTACGGAGTATTGGGTAGGAACCTGGAAAAGTCCTGCCCCAACTAGCCTGCAGCGTCTGTGCAGGCAGGGCAAAGTCTGAAGAGCAAAAACATGAGTGTGATCCTCCCAAAACCCTTGGCAGAGCTGGGCAGAGACCCTTTACCTCTGGCCTCTCATATCTGAGATACTGAGCTTTGCTGGATCAGCTGTGTTTGCTTTGGTATTTGGGAGTGGAGACCTTTTCATGCATTCTCAGGTCAGACCAGGGCTCCGGATGGACATGAGAGGTGCTCTGGTGTGAGCTAGTCAGTCTTCATGGGACAGCAAGGCAGCACAAGCCCTTGGCAGGTGTGAGAGGAGGCTGAGCCTGCCTTTCCAGGGCCAGAGCCAGGGCAGGTGGAAGATGTTTCCCAGGATAGGTGTCCAGTGCAGGGCACCCTAAAAGATCAAGGGATCTGCTTTTCTCCCATTTTCCATAGGGCAGCCCTGCAAGGTCAGTATTTGCTCTTATTTGGTGCATGGATGGGCCCTGCCCTTGCAGGAGAGAGGTTGGGGTGAGAGAGCATTTCTGATGCAGCACATAGGCTTGGAGATGTCTGCTGAACTGCAGCAGTACCCATGTGGTGTTTGGAGATTTTTTGGCTTCTCCAGAAAGAAAGATGGCAGTCCATCAGCCTATGCCAGGAGTTGCTGCTCTGCTTTGCCAGTGTGTGTGGCTGGGCAGGGAAAAGTGAGAGTCCTGCCCAGTGCATTTCCCACACCAGGAAAGGAGAAGCATGCAATTCCAAGCATCAGTGGCTGTAGAGGCAAAAGAAGGGGGAACATCACATTTCTTCTTCGCGCGACAACCCAGGGCAGCAGTAGTGCTGCATTTCCTTTGCTGCCAAAACTACTGAAAAAGAGGATCATGATGAGCAAGGGCAGCAGGTTGGCATCACTCCAGCTGGACCTCCTGTGCCAGGCCTGGGGGACCCCAAGCTGCAGAGCCAGCAGCAGACAAGTGGAATGGACCCTGCCTTTCAAAATCCTGACTCAGAAATGGACAAGTCTCCAGGGAAGAAGAGTTGGGTGGCAGTGGCTGCTAAGGATCTGCTGCTAACCACTCACATATGTGAATCCACTTACTGCAACCTGCAAGCACATTCCAGCTCTGGCAAGAGCAATGGTCATGGTTTCTAAAGCACACCCAGGCCCAGGATTCCTGCAAGTGTCCACTGTGGGTGTTAAAGCAGCGTTTACCCCCTTCCCCACCTGCAAACACACCCATCTGCACAAATAAACAGGCCAGTGCACTTGCACAAAGGAGCTTCTCCTGCCACTGCAGCTGTTATCCAGAGAGTTGCGGGTGCCAGAGTAACCGAGAGAGGTAGTCCAGCTCCTGCTGGCTCTGGCTGAGATCAGCAGAGGACGGTCAGGGCTGAGAAGCATGGCTGGGCACTTGCAGGAGTGTGTCTAAACTTCTCCTGGCTCCATCATCTCTGCACACTGCCCCCAGAGCCAGCACGGAGGGGTGTCTGCACCAGTTACCCTGCTGTGCAGCAACACAGCCGGGATGCGGGAATGCTGTGACTCTGGGATGCAGTGACCCCACAGGGAGGCATGTGCACATGGAGTGAAACACATCCTGTTCTTGTGGCTTCACTAGGACAGCTGGCTCCTGGCCTGTGTGACTGCTGGAAATGCTCCCAAAGAGAGTGAGGAGAGGTAGTTTTGTTGAGCTCTGCTTTGTTGCC